AAAAAAAAAAAAAAAAAAAAAAAAAAAAAATATATATATACACTCTCTAGGGTTTAGGGTTTAGGGTTTAGGGTTTACAACAAGAGGAGTTTGTTTAACAATATTAAAGAATTCTTTTTCTTCGTATAATTCTGTTATCTTGCCGTGTCCCTGCTGCTGCAGTTGCTGCTGCTGCTGCAGCTGCATGCGGCGCTGCTGCCTAATTCTCTCTAATTCTTCATCAGAGTCTTCTTCTCCTTTTTGCTGCTGACGACGCTGCTGACGCTGCTGCTGCTGCTGCTGCTGCTGCTGCTGCTGCAGAGCTGCATCCAGTGCTGCCTCCTTCTCCTGTAGGGCACGCAGCACTTGCTCCTCTACTCGCTTCTCTATTAAAGAAGCGCCTCCCTTTGCTGCAGCCATCCCCTAAACCCTAAACCCTAAACCCTAAACCCTAAACCCTAAACCCTAAACCCTAAACCCTAATATAGCAGCTACAAGAGCTGCTGTAAGAGTCGCAAAAAGAAACACCTGTACAGAAATAAATCCTATTACTACCTTGCTGCTGCTGCTGCTGCTTCGTTACTGCTGCTGCTGCTGCTATTCCCTTTTCTCCCTCTTTTGCTGCTGCTGCTGCTGCTGCTGCTGCATTAGCAGCTTAATTATATAAAGAATAAATAAAAGACATAAATATTATTATTTATTTCAATGTCTTCTTTTGCATGCAAAGGTAAGGGGGCCCCGGGCCCCCTATATTACCTCCCGTGGAGGCCGGGCTTGCTGCTGCTGCTGCTGCTGCTGCTGCTGCTGCTGCTGCTGCTCTGCTGCTGCTGTTGCACCAGGACAGCAGCATCAGCAGCGGCAGTACTAGTAGTAGGAGCAGCAGCAGGAGCAGCAGGAGGAGTAACAGATTAATATATAATAATAAGAGTATATATAAAAATAAATAATAAATAATAATATAAATAAACAATAATAATAATTATAATATATAATTATGCTACACAAGTACAACAAACTGCTGCACCGCCCGGTAGCAACAGCAGCAGCAGCAGCAGCAGCAGCAGCAGCAGCAGCCGCGCATGCAGCAGCAGCAGCAGCACGAGTGGCGTGCTCATGGCAGCAACGTTGGCAGCAGCAGCCCCTCACGTACAACAGGGCGTTATTAAGTTGTTTATAGACAACAGCAGCAGCTTCTTGTTGCAGCAGCAGCAGCAACAGCAGCAGCAGATCATAACGACAACAGCACCCGCAGCAGCAACAGTAGCATCAAGAACTACCAATAGCAACAACAGCAGCAGCAACAGCAGCAGCAACAGCAGCAGCAGCAGCAAGGCCCCCTTGAGTATTATCTCTTGGAAGAAACAATTTCTTAGCACAACTGTGCATGCAGCTGATTTGTGTTTTGCTGCTGCAGCACGAAGTAAGAGAAGCAGCACCAACACCTCCGCACGAGCACAGCAGCAGCAGCAGCAGCAGAAGAAGAAGAAGAAGCAGCAGGAATAACAGCAGCAGCAGCAGTTATTGTTATTGTTATTGTTATTATTGTTATTATTATTACTTGTACAAGAACATATCTAGTTATAGCAAGGAGATTCACGAGCTTATTTCTTGCTGCTACAGCAGCAACAGCAGCAGCAGCAGCAGAGCAGCAGCAGCAGCAGCAGCAGCAGCAGCAGAGTGTGGTATATTTAGTAGATAAAGGATATAAAAGAGTTATAAGAATTATACATTGATGTCTTGTAGATCCTAATACACAACCACCAACAGCAGCAGCAGCAACAGCAGCAACATCAACAGCAACAGCAGCAGTAACATTTGCTGCAGTTACTACTGCTGCTGCTGCTGCTGCTGCTGCTGTTGCTGCTACATACAACCATACAAATTATTTTCTTTCTTTCTCTGTGTGTATGTGTGTGTTGCTGTTGCTATTTGTGCTATATCTTTCCCTCCTTTCCTTCTGCATCTCCATTTGCTGCTGCATTTGCTGCTGCTGCTGCTGCTGCTGCTGCTGCTGCTGCTGCTGCTGCTGCTGCAGGATGTCATTAGTGTGTGCATTAACAGGGGAAGTACCTGAGGAAGCAGTATACTGCAGCAAAACAAATTTAATTTATGATAAAAGAATTCTTATTAAACATCTTGCTGCTAATAATGGTATTTGTCCTGTATCTAATATTAATATACAAATTAATGATTTGCTTCCTGTTAAAAGTAAGTCTTGCTGCTGCTGCTGCTGCTGCTGCTGCTGCTGCTGCTGCTGCTGTTATTTTGGTGTATTTGGTGGTCTTGGTGTCTTTATGAACATCTTGCTGCTAATAATGGTATTTGTCCTGTATCTAATATTAATATACAAATTAATGATTTATTACCTGTTAAAAGTAAGTTCCTCCTGCTGCTGCTGCTGCTCCTGCTGCTCCTGCTGCTCCTGCTGCTCCTGCTGCTGCTGCTGCTGCTGCTGCTGCTGCTGCTGCTGTTATTTTGGTCTATTTGGTGTCTTTATGAACATCTTGCTGCTAATAATGGTATTTGTCCTGTATCTAATATAAATAAACAAATTAATGATTTATTATCCGTTAAAAGTACGTCTTGCTGCTGCTGCTGCTGTTGCTGTTGCTGCTGCTGCTGCTGCTGCTGCTGCTGCTGCTGCTGCTGCTGCGGTTAGGAAGCAGCTAGCGCATGCATTATATCAACAAGATGCAGCAACAAGAGTTATTGCAAGACTTCTTAAGGAAAGAGATGCAGCAAGACAGCAACTGCAGCAGCAGCAGCAACTTGTGCTGCAGCTGCAACGCACTGCTGCTGCTGCAGCAGACAGCGCAGATGCAGATCTCGGTAAGTCTAGCAGCAGCAACAGCAACAGCAGCAGCAGCAGGATGATGATTATCCCTATCTAATTATAATCTTCCCTATTACCAACCACAACAGCAACAACAACAACAACTGCTGCTGCTGCTGCTGCTGCTGCTGCTGCAGGTGTAAGCGAGGAGCTGGTAGAGGAGATGCAGTCATTAGCTCGTCAACTATTAGGTTTACGTAAGAAGAGGAAGCCAGTTGGATTTGTTGCTGCAGCAGCAGCAGCAGAATTTGCATGCACTTTGTCGCTGCCGCTGCACTCAGCAGCAGCACGTGGGGTGTATAGGGTAGTAGCAGATACAAATGCAGCAAGACATGCTGCTGTATTCAGCAGCAGCAGCAGCAGCGAGGACAGCAGCAGCAGCAGCAGCAGCAGCAGCAGTTCATCATCAGCAGATGGTGGTGATAATAATACATCATCAGGATCAGGATCAGCAGCAGCAGCAGCTGCTGCTGCTGCAGGTGGTGCAGCAGCAGCAGCAGCAGGAGAAGGAAAAGTAATAAGTGTATCTGCAGGTGCTGATGGATCTATTGTCTTTTTTAATATTTATAAGAAGAAACAAATAGAAAAAATACAGGCACATCATAAACCCTGCAAAACCCTCATCGTACACCCCAATGAGCCTATACTTATTACAGGGTCTGAGGATAAAACCATCAAGTAAACCCTAAACCCTAAACCCTAAACCCTAAATAGACAATAAACTATAAATAGATAAAAAACCCTTTATTTTAATTGGTTATACGTTAGGCTAAACACTTATTAACACTTATTCGTAAGGGGTCCGACGATAAAACCACCTAGTAAACCCTAAACCCTAGCTAAACCCTAGCTAAACCCTAAACCCTAAATAAACCCTAAACACTAAACACTAAATTCGATTAGAAACAATTCTAGAGTACACCCTAATAAGCTTATACTCATTAATGGGTCCAAGAATAAAACCATCAAGTAAACCCTAAACCCTAGCTAAACCCTAATAAACCCTAGCTAAACCCTAAACCCTAAACCCTAGCAAAACCCTAAACCCTAAATATCAGTAGAAAAAAATTCTTAGTTGAAGTGTATTATAGACCGCAATGAAGAAATGTTTATGACTAGATAAGATGATAAAAGACAGTATAAACCCTAAACCCTAAACCCTAGCAAAACCCTAAACCCTAATTTTGTTAGTTAATAAGAAACGTGAATATATTCCTTTCTATAAACCCTCCTACTACCGTAAACCCTTTTTTTTGGATGATTTTTTGTTGTGCTTGTATTGCTGCTGCTGTTGTTGTTGCTGCTGCTGTTGCTGTTGCTGTTGCTGCTGCTACAGGATATGGCGTGGTTCCTTAGACTTTAGTATAAATTATTCATTAGGAGTAACATTAAGGAAACAAAGAGGAGAAATTGGGGGTTTAGCTCTGCACCCATTAAATGATTATTTCTCTGCTGTATCGACAGATAAAAGTTGGAGTTTTATTAACCTACAAGAAGGAAAATATCTTGGGGTGTATAGGGACCTTAATTGCCAAGTAGGATACTTTTTTTTTTTTTTTTGCATGCGCTTCTTGTGCTGCTGCTGCTGCTGCTGATGTTGCTGATGCTGCTGGTGGTTTTTTTGTTCTCCTGTTCCTTGTGGTTGTTGCTGTGCTGCTGCTGGTTGTTATTGTACTGCTGCTGCTGCAACTATTGCTATACTAATGCTGCTGCTGCAGCAACTACTGTTACTAATGCTACTGTTGCTGCTGCTGCTGCTGCTGCTGCTGCTGCTGCAGTACACGTCTCTTGCCTTCCATCCTGATGGTATGATCATGGGGGGAGGAGGTATAGATGGTAGTGTTTATATATGGGACATGAAGGCGCAGCAGCAAAGAGCAGCACTACAAGGACATCAAGATAGAATTACTGAGCTTACCTTCTCAGAGAATGGATACTATCTAGCTACTGCTAGTGCTGATGGAACTGTAAGAAGGGTTTAGGGTTTAGGGTTTAGGGTTTAGGGTTTAGGGTTTTTTTGGGGGGGGTTGATAGGGGAGGGAGTATATTTTAGGGTTTAGGTTGTTGATTATACAGGAGGGTTTTGTAGGGTAAATAAATATATAGTGTTTATGACCAAAACTCCAAAACACTTTTTTAGGGTTTAGGGTTTAGGGTTTAGGGTTTAGGGTTTAGGGTTTAGGGTTTTTTTTTTTTTGTGCATGCAGGTCCGTCTATGGGATTTAAGGAAGTCTGCTTCCTTCCAGACATTAGAGATAGGAGAAGAAGGAGTAAAAGATAAAGTAACAAGTGTTTGTTTTGATAACTCGGGGCTTTTTCTTGCTGCATGCAGTGCAGCAGGAATTGTTAAGTTATATAACTTCGAGAGCAGAGCGCATGCAGCCCCAGTTGCTACCCTTAGGGGACATACAGATGCGGTTACACAATGCACGTAAGTATAAAAAAAAACAAATAAGGGTTTAGCAACAAATAAGGGTTTACGAGGGTTTACGAGGGTTTACGAGGGTTTAGGGTTTAGGGTTTAACTTTCTTGCGGGCAGTTTGTATGATTTCTTTTGCATGTAATTAATAATAAATTAAAATAAATAAATAAATAAATGTTATTATTTTAATTATTAATTAATTAATTAATTAATTATATTTATTTATTTATTTATTTATTTATTTATTTATGCAGATTTGTTGAGGGGGAGAAGATGTTATTAACATCATCAATGGATAAAACCGTCAAAGTATGGCAACTACCTACACAACAATAAATATCCATGCATGCATGCATGCGTGCATGCATGCTTGCATGCAGCTGCATTCATGCAGTTGCATGCAAATAGATGCATGTGAATAGATGCATGCAAATGTGTAAATGCATGCATGCAAATTATTACATGCATGCATGCATGCAAATAAGTGCATGCAATTGCATGCAGTAGTGATGAAGGGGAAAGAAGAAAGATAAGATATTGGGGCTGCGGTGGAGACACAAATAGAGATGGGAGTGCAGCAGCAGCAGCAGCAGCACCTGCTGCTGCTCGAGCAGCAGCAGCAGCAGCAGCAGCAAAATAGATGTTTGTTTGTTTTACTTGTCTCCATACTGCAGCACGAGAGGTCGTGAGGGAATATTTGCTGTTGCTGCTCATAATCCCTATTAGCAGCAGCAGCAGCAGCTGCTGCTGTTGCTTCTGCTGCTGCTGTTGCTGCTGCTGCCGCTGCAGCAGCAGCAGCAGCAGCAACAGCAGCACAGGACTGAAATTTTGATTTTGGCTTTGCTGCTGCAGGGAGTGCAGCAGGTTTGAGTCCTTTTCTTACTTTTACTCTTATTAAGAAAAAAAAAAAGAAAAAAAGGGGGAAAAAAGAGACAAAAAGAGACAAAAGGGGACAAAAAGAGGAAAAAAGAGACAAAAAGAGACAGGGAGGAGCATAGAGAGACAGTAGATAGCAGTAGATAGCAGCAAGTAGCAGCAGATAGCAGCAAGTAGCAGCAGGCAGCAGCAGAGGCAGGAGGGGACAGTGGATAGCAGCAGGAAAGAGACAGAAGGGGACAAAAGGATAATTTATTTATTTGTCTCCTTTTTTTATTAAAGAAAGGAATAAAAAGGAGACAATAATAAATAAATAAATAAATAAATAAATAAATAAATAAATAAATAAATAAATAAATAATAAAAGGAGACACCTTGTCTCCTTTCTGTCTCCTTATTTCTCCAAAAGAAAAAAAAGGGTTTAGTAGCGTTTATAAGGGTCTACTAGGGTTTAGGGTTTTTACGAGGGTTTAGGGTTTATTAGGGTTTAGGGTTTAACGCTGCGCCGTTGCAGGAGGGCCCGTCTGCAAGATAGGGTTTAGGGTTTAGGGTTTACGCTTGCTGTTTCCTTTGTGCCCTATTAATAACCCCTTTATATTCATAAAACCCTTATTTAAACAGTAATTAGGGTTTAGGGTTTAGGGTTTAGGGTTTACGAGTGCTGCCTCCTTTGTGCTCTATTAATAACACCTTTATATTCATAAAACCCTAATTAATATAATTAGGGTTTAGGGTTTAGGGTTTAGGGTTTTCGCTTGCTGTTTCCTTTGTGCCATATTAATAACCGGTTTATATTAATAAACCCTTTTAGGGTTTAGGGTTTAGGGTTTAGGGTTTAGGGTTTAGGGTTTACGCTTGCTGCCTCCTTTGTGCCCTATGAATAACACCTTTATATTCATAAAACCCTAATTTATATAATGAATGTTCTTCTTCTTCTCTTATAACAAACAAATCACAAAAAGTAGGAATTAATAGCATACCCTCTATTGCTGCTGCTAGCTCGTCCTCCTGCTGCTGCTGCTGCTGCTCCTGCTGCTGCTGCTCCTGCTGCTGCTGCTGCTGCTGTAGGGGGAGGAGACTGTCTAAGGCTAGTAAATCAGAGATGCGCCACCATGAGGCCTTTTGCTGCTGCGGCAGCAGCGCAGCAGCCTGCAGCACACGGACAACAAATTCTGCTGCTGTTATATACCTGCTGCTGCTGCTGCTGCTGTTGCTGTTGCTGCTGCTGCTGCGCTTGCTGCTGATGCTGGCGATCGTGCTGCTGCACTCTGCATGCGTTTCTGTTAATGCCTGTATAATAGAATCCAACTCCTCCAGCAGCTCCGTACGACGGGACTTTTGCTGCTGCTGCTGCTGCTGCTGCTGATCTTGCTGCTGCTGCTGCTCCTGTTGTTGCTGCTGCTCCTGTTGCTGCTGCTGCTGTTGTTGGTGTTGCTGCTGCTGCTGCTGCTGCTGCTTGGGTGATGGTTGAATACCATCTCTGATCTCCTGTAGCCGCTGCAGCAGCAAATTAGATGCAGCAGCTTTGCATGCAAGCAGCAGCAGCAAATGTGTCTCCTTTATATTAATTATATTAAGACAACGAATTATTTCTGCTGCTGCTGTGCATGCAGCAGACACACGAGAAGACACAAAACATATATTTATACCATTCTTTATATTGCTGCTGCTGCTGCTGCTGCTGCTGTCATTGCTGCTGCTGCTGTCATTGCTGCTGCTGCAGTCATTGCTGCTGCTGCTGCAGCTACTGCTGTTGTCACTGTTGCTGTTGTTGTTGTTGTTGCTGCAGCTGTTGCTGCTGTCATTGTTGTTGCTGCTGCTGCTGCTGCATGTACAATTACTGGCAGCTAATGCTTGCTGCAGGGTAGCAGCAATTTGCTGCCTAACAGCAGGAGTGCAGCGCATGCGTTTAGCAGCAAGAAGAGAAAAAGAATATTCATTTAATTTATTTTTATAAGGAGTGCAGCAGAGTCCACCGTTGGGGTGTACAGACACCACAAAAGTTTGCTGCTGCTGCTGCAGTACTATAGCTACTTCATCAAAAGGTTGCTGCAGGTGGTAGGGTAGCAGCAGCCGCTGCAGCAATCGCAGCAGCACAGCAGCAGCAGCAGCAAAAGGATTTAATAATTTTATTTCTTTTTTTATAAATAATAAATCTCCTGTATCTAATCCTAATTGAATACATTTATCTCTTTCTTCTCCATAAAAAAATAATCTATTCAGGTGTATAGGCACCTCTTGCTGCTGCAGCTGATCCTGCTGCTGCAGCAATTGCTGCTGCTGCTGTAATAAATAACGTCTACGATACTCCCAATAACAACAATAACCTGCTGCTGCTGCTGCTGCAGCAACAGCAGCAACTCTTGTTGCTGCTCTTACTGGCGCAGAAGGGGGATATGATTTACCAACAATCCTTATATTCCCGCTGCTGCTGCTGCTGCTGCTGCTGTAGTTGCTGTTGCTGCTGTAGTTGCTGCTGCTGTTGTAGTTGATGTTTCTGCTGTAGTTGCTGCTGCTGTTGCTATAGTTCCTGCTGCTGCTGCTGCTGCTGCTGGGGGTTGAATACACCCGACGGCCTCCTATTTGCTGCTGCAGACGCAAACCCCGTAAAGGGATTACACAGCAGCGTCTAAGCATTGCTGCTGCTGCTGCTGCTGCTGCTGCTATTGCTGCTGCTCCTGTTGCTGATGCAGAGCCCTCCTAATACTACTAATGCTACTGCTGCTGCTGTTGCGGCTGCAGTCTTCTGTGAGTCTGGTGCTGCTGTCTCCGTTGTTGTTGCTGCTGCTGTTGCTGTTGCTGTTGCTGTTGCCGTGTGTGTTATAAGCAGCAGCTGCTGTCGCTGCTGTCTTCGCTGCTGGTGTTGTTGCTGCAGACGCTGCTGCTGCTGCTGCTGCTGCTGCTGCTGCTGCTGGTCTGGCTGTTTAAGAAGCCTAATCGTAATTAACTTTTGTTTAATCTGCTGCTGTCAACATTTTATAAATATAATTTTGCGGTGTACGTACACCTCAACAACTGGATGGCTGGCAGCAGCCTCGACACGGTGAGCCGTCTAAACCCTAAACCCTAAACCCTAAACCCTAAACCCTAATATAAACCCCGGAACCATTTTGCACAAAAAATATTAAAAATTCAACAAATTATTTAATTTAGAGAAAAGAATTTTTTTCTTAATTTAGAGGGTTACACTACAAACCCTAAACCCTAAACCCTAAACCCTAAACCCTAATACCAAAGCCCTAAACCAATGCTCGTCCGGTGGGCCCCACAGAGGGTTTGCTGCAGGCAGCGTCATGAGAGGAGAGGGAAGAAGCTCTTCGTATATAAAGAAATATTTTATTTTTAGGGTTTAGGGTTTAGTGTTTAGGGTTTAGGGTTTAGGGTTTAGGGTTTTTGCCCTCGCCTGCAACCGCTGGCCCTTTGACGGGACCGCAACCGAAAGTTCTGTTCTTCTGGACCCTGATTATTAGGGTTTAGGGTTTAGGGTTTAGGGTTAAGGGTTTAGGCGTCGTCATGGAGTCCTCAACACCCGTCCGCGTCGACCTGTCCACCCTGTAAGGGTTTAGGGTTTAGGGTTTAGGGTTTAGGGTTTACAGAGGGCCCATGAAGTCGCTTCTACTATTACTCCCCATCGTTTTCCTTTTGCTGCTGCAGCAACTGCAGCAACTTCTTCCTTTTATTTTGCTGTTTGCTCGTTGTTTCTGCTGCAACTGTTGCTGCTGCTGTTGCTGCTGTTGCTGCTGTTGCTGCTGCTGCAGGGGCCCCGGCCTGCCTGAGTCTACAGGCGCTGCTGATCCTCTTACTTATCATTTACATCATCTTATTGCCACAGACCTCTCTCCTCTTGAAGCCACCACGGAGTACGTAAACCCTCCAAATTAGGGTTTAGGGTTTAGGGTTTAGGGTTTAGGGTTTAGGGTTTTGTATATATCGATGCATCTATTTATGGTTTACGATATGCTCTAAATCTCATGTATTTAGCTAATTTATACAAACCCTTACATCTCTCATTAGGGTTTAGGGTTTAGGGTTTAGGGTTTAGGGTTTAGGGTTTGTTTTTTTTTTTTTCTAGTTTGGAGGAGAAGACTCGTGAATCAGCAGAATATTTTGTGAGGAAATTATTTTCTTTAGATCATCATCAATCAGAAGATGGGGTGTACGTACACCTCCCTCCTCCTCCTAAGATAGATACTATGAGGTTCCCTAGAACATTAAAGGTACAAACCCTAAACCCTAAACCCTAAACCCTAATTCCTAAACCCTAAACCCTAATTTCTAAACCCTAAACCCTAATTCCTAAACCCTAAACCCTAATTTCTAAACCCTAAACCCTAATAATATATGTAGAGTGTGTCTATGCGTTATTTTTCTTTGGTATATCTGTTGCTGTTATCGTTAGACCTTCACACATATTTCTTCCTTTTTTTTTCGTTTTTTTAGGGTTTAGGGTTTAGGGTTTAGGGTTTAGGTTTTTTTTTTTTTTTTCAGCTCCCTACAGCTCGTGCCTTAACCCGATGGGAATTATTTGCTCGAGCTAAAGGAATAAAGAAGAAGAAGAAGAGCGGATTAGTATGGTGGGAGGAAGGGAAGAAATGGGTAAGAAGATGGGGGTATAAGGGTCTGCAGCAGCAGCAGCAGCAGCAGCAAGCAGTATTAGAGGAGAAAGGAGCAGTGGTGCTGCGCAGCAGAAATATAAAAACAAAGCATGCATCTGCTGCTGCTGCTGCTGCTGCTGCTGGAGGGAAGAAAGGTAAACAGCAACAAAGAAGAATTGCTAGAGCAGATCCTGCTGCTGCTGCTGCTGCTGCTGCTGCTGATACTGACGATCTATTTATTAAGGAGAGGAAGCAGCAGCAGCTGCAGCAAGCTAAGCAGAAATTAAATGAAGTAAGGAATGCAGCAGAAGCAGCAGCAGGAAGAGCAGCAGCAAGAGGTGTAATAGCAGCAGCAGCAGCAGGTAATCGGTCTGCTGCTGCTGCTGCTGCTGCTGCTGCTCCTTCTCTCCCTGCTGGTGTACCTGTACTCTCTAATAGTAAACATCGTAATAAAAATAAACGCGAACTACAAGAAATACTCTACAGGTAAACCCTAAACCCTAGCTAAACCCTAAACCCTAGCTAAACCCTAAACCCTAAACCCTACGAAAATGGCATTTGTTTTAATTTACCTGTTAAGCACAATAAAGAAAAATAATTCTGTTTCTTTTTATTTATTTATTATTAATTAATAATTATTAATATTTATTTATTTATTTATTTATTTATTTATTTATTTATGTCTGTAGGGCCCAAGTATCAACAGCTTCAGCAGGGCAGCACGATAAATACGGCAGCAAGGGGGCCCCCCAAGGTGGGGGCCCCCAGGGGGCCCCCCCGCAGCAGCGTAAGAAGCAGAAGGCGCAGCAGCACGGCAATGCAGCAGCAGAGACAGCAGCATACAAGGAGCAGCTGCGTCTCCTTCTTGCTACGAAGGAAGCTAATAGAGCGCATGCAAATGAATAAGCTTGCTGCTGCTGCTGCTGCAGCAGCAGCAACTGCTGCTGCTGCTGCTGCTGCTGGTAGCTTGTTTTTATATTTAAGGACATCTTATGTCTTTACAAAGACACGCCATTTTATTGCTATACAAATAAAAGGGACTATTACTACCTGCTGCTGCTGCTGCTGCTGCTGCTGCTACTGTTGCTACTAGTGCTGCTCCTATTCTTGCTGCTGCTGCTGCTGCTGCTGCTGCTTTTAGGGGAGCTAGCTGAATTGTACCTATGGGGTATAAACAACTAAATAAATTATATTTATTTATTAATACAATTAATTAATATTAATTCTTATTTATAACATGATGAATAGTTTACCCCTAAGGGGGGCCCCCCTCTCTCTCCTTGGGGGCCCCCTTCTTCCCCCTTCCTTAAGATGGAGGGGGGCCCCTCCATCACACAATCGGAAGCGGGGGGCCCCACAGACTGGGTCCCCCCTGCAGCACAGGCTGGGGGGGCCCCCATAGTAAGGGGCCCCTCTGAAGGGGGTCTCCCAGCGTCTAGGGGCCCCAGAGGGTCTGCTGCAGGCAGGGACCCCCTAGGGTCTGCTGCTGGGGGCCCCTTAGGGGCCCCTATTGGGGGGGGGCCCTCTTGGGTATCTGTGTCGGGCGTATGTGTTCCTCTGCCCCAGAAGTTGGCCTCAACTTCCTTGATTTGCTGCTGCTGCTGCTGCTGCTGTTGCTGCTGCTGCTGCTGTATGGGGTTGTCCCAGTACAGGCCTGCTCTTTGCTCTGCCTTCTCCAGTGTCTCTGCAGCAGATGCTTCTGCAGCAGCAGCAGCAGCAGCAGCTGCTGCTGCTGCTGCCTCACTCGTGTCTTGACCAGGGGGAGGCAACCCTAGCAGCAAATTCAATGCGTCTTCTGTCCTGTCTCTGAATGCTTTTTTGCTGCTTGCTGCAGCAGGCGGCAGCAAAGGGTACTGGGGGCCCCCCCCAAGGGGCCCCCCAAGGGGCCCCTTCTTCTCTAATATGAAATCAACATCTGTTATGGACAAGGATTGACGCCTGCTGCTCCTGCTGCTGCTGCTGCTGCTGCTTCTTTGGCTTCTGCTGCTGAGCCTACCCCGGCTCAGGCGTGCTTGTCTTGCTGCTACTGCAGCAGCAGCAGCAGCAAAGTCAGCGCACCTTACAGGGGAGGAACTTTGGCTCCGTGGCCCTCCTCCAGCAGCAGCAGCAGCAGCTGCTGCTGCTGCTGCAGCAGCAGCAGCAGCAGAGCCAGGAGGCTCGCAGGAAGCTACGCGACGCCCCCGTGGGCTGTCTGTACACCTCAAGCTACGGGGCAGCAACAGTGATGGATTGGGCTCTGCTGCTGCTGCTGCTGCTGCTGGTGCTGCTGCTGCTGCTGCTGTTGCTACTATTGTAAACTGCGAAGGGGTTGACCGGCTGCGTCGGTCAGGGCATGGGGAAGAAGGGGCAATTGCTGCTGCTGCTGCAGCAGCAGCAGCAACAGTTGGTGGTGCAACTGTTGGTGCTGCAACTGTTGGCGCTGCAGCTGTTAGTGTTGTTACTGCTGCTGTGGCCCCCGTTGCTGCTGCTGTTGTACCTGGTGTTGCTGCTGCTGCTGCTGCTGCTGCTGCATCAGTGTCTGTCTCTGTTGTATCCTCAATGTCTGTAGATAACGATCGTGCTTCTGCTGCTTCCTGCTGCTGCTGCTGCTGTTGTTTGTGGCACTGCTCCGCAGCAGCAGCAGTGGATGCTTCTTCTACTGCTGCAGCAGCAGCAGCAGCAAGAGCAGCAGCTGCAGCACACACAAGAGAATAAGCAACATACTCGGGTGTATGTACACCTGACGAATAAAGAAGCAGCAGCTTGCTGCTGTTTATAACCATACAAGGACTTACCATCTTGAGATTCTTGCTGCTGCTGCTGCTCTTCTTCTTGCTGCTGCTGCTGCTGCTGTTGCTGCTGTTGCTGCTGCTGGTAATTGTCATGGGGTTGCAGCTCCTTAATTTCGTATATTTGCTGCTGTTGCTGCAGCTGATGTTTCTTTTGTTCTTGTTGTGTGTTGCTGCTGCTGCTGCTACTAGTACTGGTACTATTGCTGCTGCAGCAACTAGTACTACTACTATTACTATTGCTGCTGCTGCTGCTGCTGCTGCTGCTGCTGCTGCTGCTGTTCGCCTTAATTAGGTCCTCTAGATCGAACCCATCAGAGACAATTAGATCCTCATCCTTATTAAGGCAGCAGCAGCGCAGCTGCTGCTGCACCTCCTTGTCTCTATCCGTCAGCAGCAAACCTTTTGCTGCACATACTAGCTGCATATACACACAAAACAGCAGCAGCAGCAGCAGCAACAGCAGCAGCAGGTGTTGGTTATTTTCCAGTAGCAAGAGATAAAAGAAAGAGACACACAAGGAGACAGAAAAGGAGACAAAAAAGAGACAAAAAAAGAGACAAAAAAGAGACAAAAAAAGAGACAAAAAAGACAACAGACAACAGAAAAGGAGACAAAAAAGAGACAAAAAAAAAGACAAAAAAGAGACAAAAAAAGAGACAAAAAAGATATTAAAAGAAAGAGAATAAAATAAGGAATAAGATAAAGGAGACAAAAAGGAGAAAAAAGGAGACAAAAGGGAGACAAAAAGGAGAAAAAAAAGAGACAAAAAAAAAGAGACAAACAATATAACATCAGTAACAATATGTAGATGAGGAGAGAGACAGTAGATACCCATAAAAATAGACAAATAAAGGAGACAAAAAGGAGACAAAAAAGAGACAAAAAAAGAGACAAAAAGGAGAGAAAAAAAGAGACAAAAAGGAGACAATAAAAAAGAGGGAGAAAAGAGACAAAAAGGAGAGAAAAAAAAGACAAAAAGGAGACAAAAAAGGAATTAAAATAAAGAGAATAATATGAATAAGATAAAGGAGACAACAAGGAGACAAAAAAAAAGAAAAAAAAAAGGAGACAAAAAGGAGAGAAAAAAAGGAGACAAAAAAGGAATTAAAATAAAGAGAATAATATGAATAAGATAAAGGAGAAAAAAAGGAGAAAAAAAAAAAAAAAGAAAAAAAGACTAACAATTGCATCTGTAGCTAGAGATCCGTTCTTAATATGTAGATGAGGGGAGACAGTAGATGCCCATAATAAACGAATAGAGGAGACACAATCACAAGATAAAGATACAAAAGAACGTAATAAAT